GGAAATCTTGCAACCCATATGAAATTAACATTACTTAACTCCAACCCGAAAGCTACTTCTTCCATATCTTCTTTTGACAAGAAATACTCACTCCCAAAGGAGACAAAAACAGTTGAATTCTCATCTTTTGTTCCTAACCAATCCATGAGGTCCATATCGTCCGCGTCATTAGTGATTGGATCTTGTACTGGTGGACCAACTGGAACAACTTTCCAATTGCTCAATTCAAGGCAATAATCAATATATTTGGCTTCTATAGTTCTAGAAGTACTCATCAACACGATTTGCATATTTCCATCAACTAAAAGATCTCCATCATCAGGTTCTTTCTCATTATTAGATTTCGCCACCATTTCACTCAATCTTACTTGCTCAATTTTCCTGAGATAAATAGCAGGGAAAGGGAATTCAACCTCTGGTTTCCTCAGTATGTTGAAAAAATACGAAAACACAGATGCAGCCGAAGTTATAAGCTTAACTGCTGGAATGTTGTGTTCATTCGCGACACGTTCAGCCCATTGCTGCAATACGTCATAAATCACCAAATCAGGTTTCAGATTTTCCAAGATTTTCGAAAAGTTTGGTTTGGACATTTTCAGGGCTTTTTGAAGGATGTGATTGAGATTGGGTGGGAGACCATTAGTCGTATGGTAATGAGGAGGAAGTTCGGGTAATTCTGGTAAGTGAAGTTCGATAAGCTGAATCGAATCAGCATACTTTTCGGGGATTTTCTTGATGATGGATTTGAGATTTATCGGAGTTGAAATGAAGTAAATCAAGAACCCTCTGTCCGCGAGTTTCTTAGCTACGTTTAGAAATGGAGATATGTGTCCATAAGCCAAAAATGGGAACATCAATACCTTTAAAGTAGCCATTGTATTCTTAATTCTTGTTTTTCTATAGAGGGAAAGAAGGATGAAAGAGAAGCTCTTTGTGGAGTTGGTGACATTGGCTACCTTTATTTATTAAACGAAAATGTGATAAAAAGTTGACTACAAGTACCAATAAAGTTTAAATCTAAGATATTTAATTAAAGACAAAAGAATAGTTACCCCAAGTAGTAATTGGTAGCCATCTTTTATTTATAGAATCATTGGATGTAGACTTCTAGCCAAATTTAATGCAAAGTGACGACTTGTGTGATTGTTTGTTTTAGAAAATTTAGGCACATTTAAAGAAGGTGACTTTATAGGTAATAAAAACTTGTGTGGCTGTAAATTATTTCATTAAGGGTAAAATACATATTTTATAGTTAGATTGTTACTTTATATAGAAATGTGTCATTTTTTTTGGACTGACTAAAAAGGAAAGTGAGTCATATAAATTGGGACAGATGGAGTAGTTTATATTTAGGAAAAAGAAAATAGCTGATATTAGGAATGTAAAACTTGCGAAAAAGTGATAGTTCAAGTGTGTTTTTGATCATTATCTCTAAAAAGAACTATTTTTAGGTAAATTTGTAAAATAAATCTTGTATGTATAATTTTAGTTTTTTTTAAAAAAAATTGTGTAATACAAATTATATCACATAAACTGATACGAATTAAGTACGTAAAGAGTACATTGTAAATAGATTATTGGGTGCTCAACTTGGTTGTGAGCTAGTTGAGTACATGTTGTATATTATTTCATGGCTTTATTTATAGGGAAAATTGTGCATTATAGCAAATTATTAATTTAAAATAAATGATATGGCAATAGTTTTATTTAATTCTAATTCGTAGCAAATACTTTGTCATTCTCGCCTCTCTCCCCTGAATCTCGCTAGCCACTCTCAATTTCCTCCCTTGCCTCTCTCACTTTTATACAAACACAATTGTATAAAGCGAGAGAGACTGTATATACAAATACAATTTCTCCGTCTTATACACTTATAATTATACTAATACAAATCTTCTTCTACTCAGTTCTCTTTTGTCTTTCTCTCGCTTTATACATACACAAATTATACAAATACAACGTACAATTTGTGTTTGTGTAAAACGAGAGAGATTTGATAAACAAATACAAATGTTTAACTCGGTTCAATTGTATATTAACTCGATTTTGTTGTATACAAATTCAAATATTATGCAGATATACAAACACAATCATTGATACATATACATAGTAGTTACATATATACAATTATCTAACCGATATACATATACAATTCACCTCTCTCCACTCTTTGCCCTCTCTCGCTCGTCTCTCTCCTCTCTCTCCTAATCTCGCTTACCACTCTAACCTAACACAAGGAGCATATTCATATAAAAACACAATTTTCTTAGACATAAATGCCCGATTTATACAAATCGCCACGATTTTATACAAATCAGATATCTACGACCTATACAAATCAAATGTTCCATAGCAAATATAAGCCCAAATATCAAAATTGTAGCTATAAAATGCTAATATAATTTTTATGTTTGTTATTAGGGGTGTGCATTCGATTTTTCGGTTTGGTTTTGCACTATTCGATTTGGATTTTTCGGTTTTGGTTTTGTAAAAGTGTAACCCAATCTGATCCAAAATAAATTTGATTTGGTTTGATTTTCCTCTATTCGATCGGTTCGACTTTTTTCGGTTTGGTTATTCGGTTATGTCAATAATTAATAACATAACCAAAGTAATAATATTTAATCCCTTAAATATACTTTCTAATATAAAGTAAAACTTAAAATACAATACTTATAAGTATACCTATTATAGATATAATTCAAACATAAAATATAAGCATAATCTTCATGAAAGACAATAACCAAAAAGAGATAAAAGTGATTAACTCCAACTTAATTCTAAGTTATATATATATATATAACGGATCTATTAAGTATTAACGTGTCGTAATTGATTACGCACACATATTAAATTAGTCATAAAATACTATATTATTAAGAAAAAGACAAAAAGGTTGTGTCAATCTTATCTCTGGGGAATGACACTTATTTTCAGAAGATTAAAAAATGAGATAACCTCAGCACGGGGATTAGGGATCTTTCTAGAAATAAAAACTTCGAGAATGTAAATTATTTTTTGTGGTCTAGTTTGGTAGATAATAAAAAAATAATTGAAAATTTATTATCTTATATATTATTTCGAATCTTATGATTTTACCTTTAATAAAAATAATAATTGAAAACTAGATCGTTTTACACTGCATTTTCGTATTCAGTTTCTGAAATTCATGACCTGAATGTCTCAACAATACTGTGATATGCCCTATTTATAATACAATACTTTTTCAACTTTTATTTGTATTTTTCTTGCTCTTTCTTGAAGAAAGTAAATATAATTAGGGTCTGTTTGGAAAACCACCAGGTTATTGGAATTGGTGTAATTACTAGGGTAGTAATTATCAGCCTAGTAATTACACTGACATGTTTGGTTGTCATAGTGTAATTACACATGTCCTGTTTGGATGCCACAGTGTAATTACATATGTTCTGTTTGGATGCACAATTGCAAACATAAAATTATAATAAATTTTAAAATAAAAATTAATCATTTTAAATTTATACTAGACAAATAAGAAAATTTATAAATGACATTAAATTAAATATTTAAGATATATATTATTTTTGAAAATTATTAATTAATAAACATATTTACTGTAACTAATATTATGAAAAATAATTGATTTATATTTTTCAAATTAATATATTTCAATTGAATTTGATCGTAACAACTAAAAGTATGAAGTTTCTGCGAACAGTGAAATGCATGTTTGATAAAAAAAGAATAGTAATATATAAATAAAATATCATAAATTATTAAATGTTTGACAAAAATATAATCTATCAAGTCTAATTAAAAAATGACATCCAATGTAAATTCAATATTACTAAAACAAATGAAACCGAAACTATAACACAAGTAATAAATTCAAAACAAAAAATTTAACATAATACTCTTATAACAAATTTCAAAATAGCAATAAATATGATTTATTTTTATTTCTTCATAATAAAGAAAACGTAAGTCTATAACTTTACTTAACAATAAATTCTATTTTAATTTAAAAATTAAGAATACTAATAAAATTATGCTAATGAAAAAATAAACATGGCATAAAGAAATAGATAATACGAGAAAATTACATAGAATCACGTAAAGTAAGGTTGAAAGTAAGAATAAAATAAAATATAATAATAAAAAATAAAAAATAGACTTTTACAATTTTAAACTTGGTGTGCTGACAATAATATTATTTCTTTTTCAACTTTATACTCGGTGTGCACACAAGGTACAAATTTAACCTCGTTTGCTAATATATTTTTTTACTTCATTTTTTTTATGACTAGCTTTTTTTGGTATTTTAGTCATTATTTATATATATATATAAGTATAAATTATTCCTACTAGTTTATCTTATTTACTATTAAATTCTCCCACAATTCTAATTTATACGCATGCATACCTTTTAAATTTTGTTAGGACATCTCGCAATATGTGTATAAGCTATAAACAACGATTTTCTGCGAAACCCCGGTTCATATTTGCGTTAGCGCGTGTGATCCACCTCTGGATCGGATTTCGATGATTTTTTTTCGATCTAAATTAGATTTATAATTTTTAAAAAAAAATTAATTTTGGACACTGAAAATATTTTTTCTGTATTAATTACTGTTCTGAGAATATTATTTTTGTATTAAAATCTTATTTTCTAAGTGAAATTAGGTATTAATGATGATTTTCTCCTTGATTTGTTTTTGGAAAAATGAAAGTCAATATATTGTAGATGTAACTAAATTATTCTATTGATATATAAGTGTATCTAAAATAAGATCTAATATACATGTATGCAAAAGCATTTAATATGAATGCTTTCTTTTTGTTAGTTGCGAAACTTTTTTTTCAGAACCCAAGATACCTCGCAGCTGCGATAATCTCTGTCAAGGGCGGACCCACGTGGGTTCCAGGGTTCACCCGAACCCCTCGGCAAAAAATTACACGGTATATATAAGGTAAATTTTCTATATTTTTGTAGATATGTATATTTTGAACCCCTCAATGACAAAGAGAAACCGATGGTGCAGTGACAAATCCCCCTGAAATTAAGCTTCATCTTACCAGTTTGATTCCTTGTGATAGCATTTTCTTTTTTCTTTTTTTAGTTTCAATCTTTTTTAAAAAAAAAAAATCAGTTCTATTTTTCAAGTTTTTTTTAAAATTTTAAAAAACGTGCTAAAAATATGGTTTTAAACCCAAAAGAAATCAAGGGTCTCATTTCTAAAGACTTATTTACACGTTTATATTTTTATTTTTTCGAATCCCCTGAACGAAAATCCTGGGTCCGACACTGATCTCTGTCATAGCCTCTACCTTTAGAATGAACACTTTATGTGCATGACGGGGTAAACCCCCCTCTAGGTACTACATAGCTTGTAAACCACAGTAAACAAGCCTTATGCAATTGGCTCGATACATAAGGCATTGAGCGGGATCAATCCCAAGTCATTCATGTGGTGTAGTCTGTGAATGACCTCCCTCTAAACAGTGGCGGAGCTAGAAATTCTATTGAGGGGGTTCAAAAAAAAATTAATCACACTAATAATATCCATAAATAAACGGGTCGGGTCGGGTCAGATCATATATGAACGGATTGAATAACAAACAGATTGACAAAAAAATCCTTAGTTCAAATAATTTCTTACTATTACAACTTATCATAAGAAACAAATTTAAAGTACATATCTATAAAATGATAATAAAGTAGCACAACTCATTCAAAAATTCTACAAGTTCTTCAATTCCTTTAGAATTGTCTCCGGCTCCTGAAAGTGCAAATGGAGAGCAAGCACAAATTTAACATTAGAAAGACCGACAATAAACACAAATCAAAAGCAAAAACTCACAAAAATTCTTTTGGCACACTGCACATATAGAATTCTGAATTTTAAAAAAAACAAAAAAAAAAGAACTTACAGAGGTTGCCATCAATGGTCGAATCATGAATG